ATGGTAAAACCCCATCTCTACCAAAAATACAAAAATTAGCTGGGTATGGTGGCAGGCGCCTGTAGTCCCAGCTACTCGGGAGGCTGAGGCAGGAGAATTGCTTGAACCTGGGAGGAGGAGGTTGCAGTGAGCCTAGATCATGCCACTGCACTCCAGCCTGGATGACAGAGTGAGACTTCGTCTCAAAAAAAAAAAAAGAAAAAATAAAAAATACATAAATATATATATATATACACATATACACATATGCACATATACACACGTATATAAACGTAATGGGAACTTGTTTTGGATGTTCCCGCCGGTATATGTGCACGCGCGCGTATGAAAGAATTTGCCCCTTTTGGACAAGGTCTACCTGCAGCTAGGACACGCACATTGCAACACTGCGACATTGCAACTGTGCATACACCACGTGCGTAAAAGGTTAGCCTACACGAGTAGTTCTTTTTTGAACAAATTGCAAAAGGGTAGGTATCACATCGTTTTTTGCTTCACCACTGGGGAATGCAATTTCGCGCGTAAATTATTTCTGCGCGTTTCCGCGCTGCGCGAAAAGGCGGCCAGGAGGAATGCACAGGTAGCACGAAAAAAACAGAAAAATATATATATTAAAATAAAAAACAAAAAAAAGGTGAACTCCCCTAATGGGGGGGTCTAAATGTAGAAAAAAAAAAGTTCCCCTGCGGAATGCGGTTAGAAGGGTGGTGTGTTGTGGACCCCCTTTATCCGCCCCATACCGAGTGTCATTTCCTCTTTTTCTTATTCTTATTGTTATTCTTGTCTTTGCTACTGGTGTCGGTGTTCTTTCCCCCCTCATTGGTTGAGAGCTTCTCCCCGGTGTGGTAAATCTTCATGCTTGTTAAAAACAAATCGCGTAAGCCGCATTCGGTGCATATATTAGACAGAGTGCTCATCCCTTTTGGGTCGAGCTCGTACATGTTCCTTGGAAGAACTCGCGCCTCATCCAAGTCCTCATAATCCTTTAAGATAATATCATCCATGCCCCTGCAGTCAAAATGCTTCCATCTCAGCTTATTCAAACTGTTAATATAAAAATCGACCTCTTCCTTGGGACCCTCACATATTATTATACCGGGGTACCCTATTTTTGAGTACCCCCCAATTTTTAATTCTCTGGCCCATTTAATTATGCAGGTTCTTTTTACTAAACTAAGAATATGGTGCGAGTAGCACAGGCGTCTAGCTAACACCCTTCTGTGCTGGGAATAAGTCATTCCGCTGCAATATAGAAACGTCACGTGATCTTTGATAAGTTCCTCTTTGGATGAGTCAAATGCTCCTTCCTCTATGTTTTCTTCCCTTTCTTCTGATGAGGAATAACTGTGGTCCACGGAAGTCTTCTCCCTGTTTTGTATATTTCCCACCAACTCGTTAATTCGGTAGATGATACTTAAAATGCTATTTTCATTGCCTATATAATTTGGCATATCTTTGTACACTTCCTGGTTGACATAATTGTTCATGTCTGGAGTGAAGTTCTTTACATCTATATTAATGAGTAAAAACGATTTTAGAGGATAATCTTTGGGTAATTCGAAAGTTAAATTTATCACATTGTCACTGATATTATCATCATTCAATTGCATGTGAATTATTGTGTCCTTCTTTTCGTCATTCTCATTTTGAATGGTTAGCTCGCTGTCCCGCACATAGATCAGTCTTAACGCTTCCAGTTCTTTTCTTTGCAACTCTTCACACTGAATTAGTACTTTATCTCTTTCACCTCTTCGCTTAATGTCATGTGGTTCACAGTCTGCTCTTACTTTCCTTCCTTCCACCTTTGTAATATGCCCTTCTCCCGATTTGTTTATGTTTTCCTTCGTATCCCTTGCCTTGGGATGGCTACGGACTTCCCCGGGGGTTACTCTTTCGTGTGGTTTCTTCATCCAGTGATTCCCTACGATTCTTTTTGTCGTTATGCAACATAGTACTAAAGAGGGGTCCGAACGTTTCAAGCGCAAAAGGGAACAAACTAAACAGATGGATTACCCTTTTCCTTCTGGCTTCTTCTGGAATCGGCATGTCATTGTGAGTAATTACTGCTTTATCGCAATTGCGCAGGAAAAAAAAAAAAAAAAAAGCTAGATTGGCTGGACGGTTCATAATTTTTCGTACATCACAACGACTTTTTTTTTTTTTTCTTCGTGGGACAATTTTTGGCTAATTAGAAGAATCTCCTTTGACCCACGTGTGAATCTCTCATGGAAGACTATTATGCGTAAACGTTACAGGGGAAAAGTCAAAATGGTAAATTGTTTCCTCCGTAAAGATAGCTTTGCACAGTAAACTGGACTGCGTGAACGCTCAACAGTCCTTAGTTCTCCCTTGACAAGAAGCTAAAAGCGCAAAAAATAATCATGTTTACATAAAAGAAGTAGGGAGAAAAGGAAATATACACTGCACCTACGATACTTTTGAAAATCGGTTCGGGGTTAAAAATAGTAATTTCTTTAATTTGTTCAGATGCGGTAAGTGCAAAACGTGTTAGCTCATCTCCGTGGTTCCCGCTAGAGCCATGCTTATAAACTCGCCTTTTTTGCACATCCTTTTTTCACCCATTATACTAACCGGTATTACACACACGGGAGAATTATTACCAAATTGGGAACCCCCCTTTATGCAGGAAAAAGGGGCAACTAATTCAATCAAAAAAAATGGACATTTGACGCTTATCCCCTAAGCGCAGATTGGATACGTAGATCGCGTAACATATATAGGGTAGCTTCTGTAACATACTATTTGAAACCTGTTACACCAGTTTTACTCTTTGGAGACGGACATTTTTACAATTAAAGGACTTATGATAGTCGTTAAAATTTGTTATTTCTTTTCCTTTTTTAAGCAGCCTTTTTTCGGCCTACACAGACGTAGTACGTTTTGAAAAAAAGAAAAATAAAAAGACTAAAAAAAAATTAAGACACAGAGATATGCGGGGTTAAATAAAGTTAATGACACGAAAAAAGGTGTCTCACGTGAGTTGGCCGTGGAAAGAGTGGATAAATGCGAAAAAAAGTCATCACTGCTTCGACTCCTTTTTTGGCTTTGGAACAACGGGAAGTGACATATTCTACGGGGAGAAAAAAAAAGGAAGCCATAGGATACCACATGAGCAATGGAGGAGAAATGTTCTGCTAGGGAGCAACAGAAATTGATGTAGAATGTATCTCTAAATGGACCCACCTGGAGACAACGATATCTTATTTTGGCGATTGGTTCATTCTCTACAATGGCGAAATAGGCTAACCTGAGAGGAAAATTAAAACAAAAGGCATTTATAAGTATTTTCATCTTTCGACAAAAAATGGATGGGTGAACTGTACAGGGGGAGGCCCTTATTACGTATGTGCCATGTGCAGAACTCATTTGATCGCCTCTCTGTTCACGTACCTCGAATAATGTCCTACGTGTGATGCCAACGTGTCCCTGTGGATGTTTGTTAGCCATTCCCTACATTTAAGAAAAAAATAATAATAGCGTAACACATGTATATAATTTTCCCTTTGCCCACACAGCGTGTGGGGGGGTGCCTGTTTGGGTGTCATTCCTCTGTCTCAGTGTGCTGCGTCGGTTCGCTCGGCTGCTCGGTTGATCCGGTCCTGGTGTTTTTTCTCTTTCAAATTCGTTCCACTGTGCGTCAGCATACCATCTAGTCGTGTCCGAGTGCCCACAGCCCTGATACTTGCTCTGCAAGTGTTCCAACTGCGCGTGGATGTTAAATCGGTCGAATGCAGACATTTTTCTATACCCCCCGTTGAGATTACGTCTTTCAATTGGGGACAGAATTAGCTGTTGTTTCGCCCCTTAGTTTGGAGTGAATTTCACTATGATGGAAAAACTTTAAGGCGAAGATGGTCCTGTTCTTCTCACTCACTCATGTACAAATGTAACGACTCTCTAATTATTTTCCGTCTGTTTCGGTTAATTCAGCAGAAGGTAGCCTTCTCGAAATGCCCTTCGGATGGGAACTCCCGTTTTGTAAAAAATTCGCAGAAAGGGCAACCCTTTTTCGGTATTTTGATCAACGGCCATATAAAAATAATCCCCTTTTTTGTGGTTAAAAAAAAAAAATATTAACCATACGGTGTTCCCATCCGTTTTCATGACTTCCCAAATTGGCAAAATGTCACATTAGTAAAAATGTT